CGAGGCCTGGGTCACATCACACGAGGCCCAACTGACGGCTTAGATGTGTAAATACACTAACTACAGTATCAAGGCAGCTGAGCCAAGCCAATAGTCTATAGATAGCTAATTTAAATCGGGTTTCAATCTGGTTATTGATGTAACTTTTCAGCTGTTATCAACAGAGTGCCAGTGGCGCAATCATGAGTTACTATTATTGATTAGCCCCTGAAAGGACAAAGCGCTCATGCGCCCCGGGCAGCTGGATTCTTAGGAAGTTTCCGGAGTAGCAGACAGGCGCCCAGAATTCTGCATCCAAAATAACAAAGTATTCACAGCTTCCAAGCACTAAGAGGTGGCACCGAGAAACAATGTCTACCGATTGAGAGATCAGCTTTCTGCTAAAACTCTTTCTAGCAAGGCCAAAGTCATGACTAGCCAATTTTACAGGGGCAGTAACCGGTGTCATGCCGTGAGCACTTCCGAAAGTGATCGGACTTGGCGGCATTTTTGCTCCACCCGCCTTGAAGTGTGAAGTGACCATTAATCCCGGCACAAACGTGCTAATCTCTGCAACGTATCTAAAGAGCCAACACACTCCAACTACCGTTAATAGTCCAGCTTTTAGGCTCGAGCCGCTTCTAGCGTCACTTCGCTCAATCTCTGGGGCGGAAGATTAGAAAGATTACCTCTCTTAATATATCGCTAGTGTCCGTGTGTGATCGACGGCTCGATCCGAGTTTGTCGAATGAAAAACACGGGAGACTCATTCGAAACATGTACAGGGCCTCAATCTAACTTGAGTAGGTGGTTCATAACAGAATTGGGCAGGTCATTGCGGTGGCGCAAGGTTGAGGAGGCTATTGAAGCCTTGATCACATGCTTAAATCCTTTCGAGCAGGCATCCAGGTAGCCCATTCAGCCAGCCTCGGACCACTTAGTTGCATCGTGCATCCCCAATCTCTGGGGTCTGGCCGGACCACGCAGGATTAGCAGTCTATCACATAATTTGCTTGTCGTGCTCTATTGGAAGCGAAACCAGGGACGGAAACTGACTGATCGCATCTTGGTCGAGGACTCCAGAGGGTAGCCTTACGACCCGAAAGTGGACGCGTAAGAATGCCACTTCTGGGCGTTGGGGTCGTCAGTGATACCATGTCCCGGCAATGCATGCACCTTTTAGAGATCAGTCCGGACCAGTTGATCCGGTCGGAGATCCAGCGTGATCGTCTCTGATCGCCGCTACTAGCACCAGCGCATAGCTTAGCTCTTTAGTATCACAGCGGAGTGAAGGTTCATGTAGGTACAGGGTGCTCTTCGGAGATCTTTTATGATTCTCCAGTTACTAGATGACAAGGTTCTTACCAACAGAAATAGCAAACTTGAGAGTTTTAGGGTCCTGCGGATTTACAGATTTTGTTTAATGAAAACGAATAGCAGTAGAGACTCCTCCACTAAACCGATTATTACTGAATTTGCAGTCCCACGATGCCCCCTGTGTATAAGACAAGTTGTACCTTTCGGCGCAGAAACTGAGCACAGGTTTTTCTTCTTCCTCTTTTATCTTTTTGCCCAGGTTCTTCGTCGCTAATGCCCCAGATCTCTGCTTTTCAGGAATAGCGATTGGCAGTCAAGTTATCTTTACATGCAGTATGAAGGCTTGAACCATCAAACCATTACATCGTTGACGCCCAATTTCAATACTAAGTTTTATCATCGAGCCAATCCCTGTGTCTCATGAGATGATGGAGCCGTCGCCACAGCGTTGCGGCGTGAGCCCGATAACGCATTCTCCAATGAGATTGGACACAGATTTATACTTTTAGCAAGGATATTGATCAGGTCCAAATACCGACCCTATGAAATGAAATGTCGGTGTGATAAGCAACCCACATGCCGAACAAGTACTGTTTGATCCTGGGACGCACGGAATGAGTATTCAATCCATTTAATACATAAGGTCCTCATCCCCTAGCCGATAGAGTATGCCGAACTAATTTCACAGATAAGGCCATCCAAGGCTCCATTCCACGGAATAATTGTTTGTCATCTTTTTATTTATTTAAATACCACTACAACCTGGCCCTACTGCCACTATGCATTCCAATACGTGTTGAACTGACAAGCGAAAGCGCAGCTGTTTGGTGTGTGGGCAATGCTATCGCAAAACTCATACCTCATAAACCAGGTAAACAAATGAAGTGAAGGAATTCAATGTCTGGCGTAAATGAGCGCACATGAGCTCGGCATGAACAGGCGCTAGTAGAGACGGGCCGCGTCTGAGCGTTATATAATATGCAAAGCTCTTATCATGGTCAACGCAGATCTTTACAACTTCCCTCGTTCTGCATGTCCTGAGTAATAGCAGAACATGGTTCGCCTTGCACCCTCTCTGCCGTGGTTAAGGCGGCAGGCGATGGCTCTCATATCCACCACCACGCTGCTCCAAAGTAGCGTTTCAGCTCTGGCGCCACGGTCACCAGAGGATGCCACTACTGTCTGCGGGAAAAAGACACTCAACGACAAACAGCGCGATCTCGAATGTGACGTCTCCCGCTCGCGCAAAGCTTTTAGTAGTACTAATTAAACATGCAGATGCTGCTAATGCATGGAACCCAACCTCGGAGGGTTTCCAATGCCTGACGGTATGTTCTTCGGCTCCTTGCATTGCCATCTTTCTTTCTGTATCTTTAACTTCTCTCCACTCACTACCATGGCCTTCTCCCATTTTAACGATGCTAGGCTTATAACAACTTTCTAACTGATTGAGCAATAGGTCAATGAAGACGACACGAATGTGTGGTTCAACGCTCCTTGGATGTGGGAGGGCGATAAGGACAATGTTCACTCATACCCCCACGTCAAATTTCGGCCCTCAAAACTACCACTACCCCTGGCAGAAATTACCTCAATGCGCCTGGTGGGGAGTTGGATGATGATAGCGGGATCCCTGGAGACAGAAACTCTAAAGTTCAGTAGTAGCGAGTGGGACGAAAACAAGTCTTCACTAGTTGCGCTTGGCACCAAAGCCAATGCTGCATTTGATATGTTTCTGGACACTGACTCAACAAAATCGACCGACTCGGTCTTGGCCGGTATTGAGCTCATGATATGGATTGGTAGTGTTGGTAACCCTTGGCCACTCAAAACTAAGACGCTGGGCACACAGAAACTCGGCGATAAAGAGTTGTAAGTGACTTTTTCGTATCCCCTCTTACCACCTGTCGGCATGGAGTTTGTTCGTTCGCTAACAATAAAATTATTAGCACTCTCTACTACGGCAAAAATCAGCGACACAATCACGTCTTCACCTGGGTACCGGATAAAGACGTAGGCGATATAACGGAATTCGACGAAGATGTTTCACCACTTCTCGAATATGTTTGGCGTAACGGCTTGATTGCAAACTCGACATACTTGGGCATAGTTGAGTTCGGGTCAGAGACGTGGCAGTCATCAGTCAACGTGACCTTCTCGGCGGCAAGTTATAGCCTGACTATCAACGCCACGGGGGCTTCTTCGCCAGGGTCTAGAATCTCTCCGCTGCCAACAGGCTGCTGTGATCTGGATTCGAGTGGGTGGATCCTGCAGAAAATTTGCTGCAGATGGCTGTTGGTTGTTAGTCTTGCTTTGTGGGGCATAATCTAAGCCCGAGGGAAAGCCTGGTAAGCCAGTCAGAAATGGGTCAGCTAGCGTATACCTTGATGCACAAATTCTTTTAAAAACATCTCAACGTGCCCCTGGCCTGGCAAACAGGTGCCTAATTACCAGTCGATCCAGGGCAGCTCTGTGGTTACTCGCCGAGCTTAATGTCTTAACGCCGGCATAGCTCACTAGATCCAAAAGCCAGACCTCCATAATGGCGAGCTCACAGCGCGTAGATTCTGCAAAGACTCGTTTGGCGACTTCACCCTTCTCAGCTGATTGTATTGCTATGCTGTGCCTGGCTGTTTCAAAGCTCGATCCCGGCTTGAAGCTATTTATGACTATCTTGCCCTTATACAGAACTGTTGGATAGGGAATACTTCAAGAAGAGTCAGACAATAAACAAGTCTATCCCATGACATTTAATTACTTCTTATACCGGCTAGTTAGTTTATATCATAATACATTACGTTAATTAAGATAACAGCAAAAGTGATAGGTCTAAGATATGTTTAAGTATACTTAGGGTTAAGCTTTAGCATTCCGGAGATCTGGGGTTATATTTATATATCTCTCTCTTAAGACGACTTGCCATTCAAGCGGCCTGGCGGGCTTTAGTGTCCCCCGACGGTAAACAGCTTAAAAAAACTCTAATTAAAAGTGCAAAGTAACGTTCCGAACAACTCAATTTAAGCTTTGTAGATCCTTAGTCTAGCCTAATTAGGCAAAGGGACTCTAGACTTTTTTCCACTCACTAATTGTGAAGATAAGATAAGAGAGTTTACCCTAAACCTTTAGAATTTTCTTGAAAATAAAGCTAAAGGTATCTTTATATTAGTAATTTTACTATACTGACTTGCTGACTTTTAAGTCGGGACTTATGTAGACTGAACTTATGGCCTCTTTTCCTGGCTTGTAAGTTAGGGGGTCAGGTTTGGGTTGAACAAGCTGACTTGACTCATCGAGAGTTTTGGGGACAAAGGAGGACGTGCATGATGCAAGCCGTCACAGCAGTCTTCCGCAAAATCAACAGGCGCAATAAATACAAATTCACTAGACAAAACTCATTTAGAACATGTTGACCTAGCTTCAAGCCTCGGCAAGTTAGGGAGTCGGCGGATCGGGTGTTTACTGATCCCGCTTGAGCAACATGGTGTTTTGACGTTGAGGACCACAAAGCCCGCTTAGTCACCAGCACAAAATGGAAACGCTTGCGCAGATACGCTTTCGACTAAAGTTCCAGACCAGTATATAAGATAACCGAGAAGATAGATATGAAATTGCAAAAAGCTCATTTAAATAAATAATATGCAAAGAGAAATTTCCCATAAAACCTTTCCTACCAAGCTCTGCATCTACATAGCCATGTCTCACTCCCAATCTATTCATCGATTCGTCGAATTCATCAACTCAGCAGATGCCGTTATTGGGAACGAAGTTATCCACGAGTCAGCCGAATTCCACGTCCCTTTCGACAGCAATCCCTTGAAGGGTGTCAGCGGATATCTAGATATGTTAGGCATGATGCGCGCGGCCTTTCCGGATATTCAGTGGAGCGTCGAGCAGATAATCACAGAAGGAGATACAGTGGTGCTGCGCTCTAAAACTCGTGGTACCCAAACCGGTCCTTTCATGGGATTCCCGCCCTCTGGAAAACGTTTCGAAATAGTTGGAATGAACCTCTTTACGTTCTCGGAGGGCAAGATTGTTAAAGAGCAGGGGCTGCCTGATCTATTTGGCATACTTGTACAGATTGGAGCAGTCAAGGTGCCGTTGTAGATGATCGGCAGATTCCATGCAGGATAGAATTGCCAATACGTTGATGGCCCAGGGAGGTGCACGGACTCTATCACTTGTTCTAAGCTTCATTTGAACGGGGCACCATAGATATGAAGTCAATGAGATATAACCGACAATAAAAACACCTCATTGCACATTCAACATAGGCGACAATACTTCCTAGTCCATATGACTGGTGATGAATCACAAGCTGCAAGCCCTCGTGCGTAGCCCTAAACATAAGTAAACAAATAGACAATAGAGATAAATTCGATTCCCAGTGGTGCTCAAGAAGCCTATCCCAGAATGGAGCTAGTGTGGCCTAAGTGCCGGCGGTTGTTGCTTGTCTGGTCTAGGTAAGGAAGGTTCGGCTATTTCCAGCACCGCGATTTGAGCCCGAAAGTTGACGAATGGGTGGCTCATGCAGGGGCGCTCATAGACTGTTTAGAGAAGGCATATACAGTTCTAGACTGCCATTTATGGCATCCCCATTACTCGTAATTTAATGCATATATTGGTATCTCCGCTTAGTAAGGTCAAAGTGGGAACCTGGTTGCGTAATTTCCTTGTCTGGTCTGGGACGATTCAGTCTCGGGCCCTTGTTTATGTCGATCTTTTTCGGGCAACGGATACAAACAAACCCGAAAACCCATTGACGAGGCCTCTGCGCCTCGATCGCCTTGTATATATACTAATCTCATGCCGTTTAAAAATGGGCATTCAAATCATCAAGAACTCAACACCTCATTAAGTGGTAATCATGGGATTTAAAGTCATCATCGTTGGTGGCAGCGTTGCTGGCCTCTCTGTCGCCAACATGCTCGAGCAATTCGACATAGATTATGTCCTTCTCGAAGCCTATCCTCAGATAGCTCCCCAAGTCGGTGCTAGTATCGGTATCCTACCCAATGGCTTTCGCATCCTCGATCAACTCGGCTGTTTCGAGCCTATCCTCGACATTGCTGGGGATTGCCGCTATACCATTGGAGGCATGTATGGGTCCGATGGTCTCCCCCTTGCACATCGTTCAACGACCAGTCTCTCGGTTCATTTTGAGAAAAGGTAGGCAAAAGCTTAACATAGTTCTCATCACCTGGCTTTACTAACTGAGACAAGGGTCGGCTATCCCTCCATTTTCATCGATCGACAGATGTTACTGCAAGTCCTGTACAAGAACCTCAAACACAAAGATCGAGTGTTGACTAAGAAACGGGTTACTCGCGTGGAATTGGTCGAGGGTGGAGTCCAAGCTTACACCCAAGACGGGTCTGTCTACGAGGGCGATATTGTCGTGGGAGCAGACGGCATCCATAGCGCAGTGAGAGACGAAATGTGGCGCCTCGGAAAGGAACAGAGTCCTGGATACTTCCCCGAGGATGAGAACTCCCGTACGTATCACTACCAATTGTCATCTTCAATGCTAACATGCTCTGTAGGAGTTCCAGTATCGACCAGGTGCATCTTTGGAATTTCGAAACGGCCCTCTGCTCTGGGTTATCGAAGCCAACAGATGGTGGTTGGCGATGGCCACGCGTATCTAATCATAGCAGCACCAGGTGACCGAACGTATTGGTTTCTCTTTGATGGTCTTCCAGAGACAAAACGGGGGAAGGACATTTCGAAATACACGAAAGCGGATGAAGAGGGACTCGTGAAGGAACACCATGCCGATCATATCACCGAAGATGTCACTTTTGGCGAGCTGTATGACCGAAAGATCATGTCGACGCTGGTTCCACTTGAAGAGTACGTCTTCGATCGTTGGCACTACAAACGCATCGTCACGATAGGAGATTCGGCTCACAAGGTATGCCAGTCCTTATATCCCCATTCTGCATAGCTGACTGTCTTATAGATTGACCCGGCATCTGGCCAAGGCGGCAATGGAGCAATGGAGTCTGCAGCACTGCTCGTCAACGCCCTGGTTCGCCAACTCAAACTGACCCCCCAGGGCCTTTCAGACTCTCAGATCGACTCTGTGCTCTCAGAGGTCCACGCTCTCCGCTACGAGCGTGCCAAGGGTCTAGTCGAGCAAGCACATTCGCTTCAGATGATGATCAGCCAGAGATTCCCATTGGCTCGCTTCATCTTCAAGCATCTTATTTCGCTCTTTGGTCCAGACGCGTTTATCGACATTGTCACCCCGATCTGCTGCGAGGCTACAAGGATCCATGGTATTCCTGTTCCGAAACGACCTCATTTTGTGCCCTTTGAGGACGAGTTGCCCGCGAAGCCTATCAAGAGCGGTCTTGCTAGACGAGTCCCGTGGGCTCTGGCAGCCGGCACTCTTGGGCTGTCGCTCTTTGCTGGGCTCAAGACCAAGGACTTTGGAGCTGGAACGAGGGCTCTCTACAGCATACTTCAGCAATTGGGTTCTGGAGGGCTTTTGGGAAAGGTAGTTGGCCAGACCCCCTTAACAAGCCTCGTTAACCTGACCCCCGTTCTTTCTTCGTGGCTCATCGAAGGCTCTCGCCGTGGAAACTCTTTGAACCCTTTGTCATGGTTCGTAACCCCATGACCATAATATCGGCACAATCACTGACCTCGAACAGGACCACGGTCTACTCGCTTATATACTCACTCATCGGTCCGAGCTCAGTGCTGCCATTCTTCTGTCTGTCGTCTGTCCTCTTCTCCACCAAGTCCACTGTCCACAGACCTGTCGACCCCAAGATCGCCAAGTCCGTCGTTCCAGGCGTTCTCCTAGGTTACGTGGCACCAACGGTCGCGGCGCTGTTGCCGATCAGAGACGCTAAACTTAGGCAATATGTCGGGACAGTATGGCAGGCATACCCTTTTCTGTGTGCTGTCTTCACTAGAGGACTCGCTGCTATCCGTGCCAAGACGGCCAACAGTGGACATCCGGAAGCTGACACGAAGGTCGACGAGAGGCCAATCAACTATGCTCCCCCATCTGAACTTCAAATGTACACAAACGAAGATGTCGCGCCCCTCAAGTTCTCTCATGGCTGTGTGCTTGCTCTGTGCTTGGCTGCTCCCGTGATCGCCAAGAGTGTATCTACCGACTGGACGCTGTCAGCCATATCTCAAGTAGTGCCTTTCGGTACTAACACAGGTGTCATCAGTGCCGTCTCGGGCCTAGCATACTCTTTGTACGCAGTCTGGGAACTGCGCTCACTCGGCTTCGTGCGAACAAAGCAGGCTGTGCTGGGAGGCTTGGCCTGCGTTGGTGCTTTGGGGCTGGCTGGACCTGGTGCTATGATTGCGGGCATTGATTATTGGCGGGAGCATGTTATCTCCAGCTTGAGCCCTGACACTGGGAGACTGTGACTATAGAAGGCTGGGCCGATTGTGGGAGCCGTGGAAGTCTATAGAAATGGTGGATTCATTGACAATAGTGTCTGTAACTTAGATGTGATTTGCCCTTGAGCTTATTCTTAATTATTATATACTTTACTTGAAAAAACAACACAGATGAAGAAATACATACCTTGGCAGTCTGGCGCCTCTTTTGAAGTCTTAACCATAACACAGAAAAACTAACGAATGCCCCAACGAGACCTCCAGCCCCTATCCCAGAATGCATTTGCCGTTTTCCATTCCTCAGAGTTCATTTCGAACACGCGCTCACAATGGACCCATGGATTCCAGCTGTGCTTCTCTACTGTTCCAATCCTGTATACCTGAATACCTCGAACCATGACAATGTTGGGGGATGAACTGTCCAGGATGCTCTCAAATGTCCAGAGGACAAAGTGTAGCTGGTCCTGAAGCGCCATGCTCTGAAGCTGGAGGAGCATGCCCAGGCCTTGCGTCGTGAGGTAGTGTACGTACTTGTTCACCTCGATCTGTTTGCAGTTTCGCAATCGTGACTTTCGTCGGTCTTGAGTCATGCCACCAACAAGGCATTTTGCGTTTTTCCCTAGTGAGCTCATTATGTTCTTCATCATGGTGCAGTGCTGATCGTAAATGTAATAGGCAATTGAGTAGAAAGTTTCCGTGGTACAGTTTTCACCTTCAGCACCGCAAATACCCGGAGAGAAAAGAAGGTGACGGAGGTCTAGATCCCTCGGAAATAGGGGCTGCCCGGCGTGAAAGAAGGCTTGAACTTAGCTCTCAAATCGACATGCGGCGTTGATAAACCTTAGGTGCTCCTTGGAGGAAACTTCAGGCCAGTCTTCTGGGCGTCTATGATACTTGAATAATTGTTCACGCGCCTGTGCCATATAGCTCGATGTTAGCCATCTAATATCAACGGCAAGAGTCGAAAGCGCGCAGATGGTTCCGAGGGAGGCCCGATGGGAAATGTGTTGATGAGTATTGAGGCTGTCGATGCAAGACCATATAATCCACTTGACGATGGATTCACGATGCGGTGGCCTTGGATCATTGAACCCAGGGTCCTGCTTGACATGGCGGAGTCGAGCAGCGAGCAAGCAGGCAGTTGAGACATGAACCCCACAAACTTCCATAATCTTGGCCGCATGTGGCGTCATCACTTGCTTCCTGTTGTCGAGAAAGCAGTGTAGCAACCAAGGATCGGCGCGGATCATGGCGGAAATATCCTGCGGGGCGTCGGCATGTTTCATGATTGCCGTTGCGAGCTCGACGGGCAGATCCTGAAACTTGGCCATGGCGGGCGATGTTGAGAAAAGTAAGTTTGAGAATGGAGATGGGGAGAAGACTCCGGATATTTATGTAGTCAGATAATAAGATTTCAGAACTTGCCATACTATAGATTATTGATCATCATTGGATAAGCTCAAAAGCTTGTCTTGGGCAATTGTATAGGCAACTGGTTGACTACCTGAACTGGCTTTGATAAGAGTGTCATTTTGAGTTGATAGACACCACAGCTAATGATCACACTACGCGCCTCACATGCTGTGAATTATGTATAACCTTTCCAAGTTCTCTCTGCAGATTTAAGCTCTCGACTACCTTTCCGCGAGCACTTTCACAAAACCTTGACTGACCCCGCTCCTGAAGCATTTGAAAATTATGACAATAGTTTGTTTCTCCCATAAGCTGTTTGCTACCATAAAAGCCGTCAACCTCTTCTCCTGCTCCGTGCTTTTGTATCTTCTTATCATATTGAGAATTATACTCAGCAATGCATGCCACAAGTCGTGACTCCTTGGAGTTCATACAGTAAGTAGCTGTCTTATCAAGCCCTTCTGCATAGCAGACACCCTAAAACATCCCCTTCACATTTGAACCTTGTAAAATGAACAGAAATTGCCACGGAACTGGCCTAGGCATGGGTAATTGAAACACCTCATATCACTGCCAGCTCCGCTGGGCTTGAAAATGTATTCAAAGCCGCAGTAATCGCATTCCCATGCATACTCCCACCTGGAGCACGTCACCGACTTCGGATGCGAATCGCCGTTGCTACCTGTACAGGGAGGTTTCATTTGGGCATTTGCCTCCAGGAGCTTTGTAGGTAGATATCTCGTCAAGATGTCGTCCTCCCCGCTTCCCTCCAAACTGGTGTAGTCTGGCAATCCGGTCGGTATTACCGTGTTGGATTCATGTATCTGCGTCATGTCCATGCCAGAGCAAGAATTTTGAATCTCCGGCAATGGTGATCTCTGCAGTGGTACGTTAAAGTCAAACTCAAAGTCCATATCTTTTGGTGTCATTGGTATCGAATCAAGGCCACCGCATGTCGAAGCCTTCTCCGTCTCCTCCATATCACCGTCGTTCGATCGCTCATCTGATAATTCTTGAAAACCACTGAAAAGCTTTTCCATCAACTGTTGAACAGATTTTCCTTTCTCGCTGGAAAGGCCTAGGCTTCTCAATATCCCTGGAACAACTCGGCTGCTTCCATTCTTACATATCGCAATCATACTCCCAACGATTTCTTCCTTAGAGTCCCCGAGATAGGGCCCTTCAATTGGCAATGCCCGGTCAAACAGAGTTTTCCAAATCTCTTGCCACTGCTTTTCTGGTGATAGTCTTCTATCTAATCGGAGTTTCAGAACTCTCTGCGTTCTTATGTTCACTCCTTTTGTATTGTCAGAAATGCCTCTTGTCCTATCTCGCTTAGTATAATGGCGGCGAGAAAGATGCTGCTTCACATCTTGAATGCGATAGAGCCTGCGACTTAAACAGTCGATATGACGCACTGGATCGAGCCTGAGATAAGGACAAGCAAAGGCTTTTCTTTCGTCGATATCCTCTACGCTGGAATCATCGGTTTCAATCACCGAGATGCAAGGACTCCCCTCTTCATCGCCGATGCACGTCTCAGGTGGGGTCAGAGGTATTGATTGTTTCGTCCAGGACTGTTGATCTTGTTCGATTGACTTGAGTGGTTCGAAATGATCGCCTGCATCACAGTCAGCGGATAAATAGATACTGAGCCTGTCATCTCACCATTTCCGTACGTAAGTAGCAACGTGGAAGACGGCTTGGCCGCTTCTCTGCTTGACAAACTGTCCGTTGAGTCCCGTTCATGAAAGCTGGAAGTCTCTGAGGCACCAAAGAGCATGGAACCTTCGTCTTCATTTATGGTTCTCTGTCTCAATGGAAGCCCTGTATTCGAAAGCATATCAAGAGAACAGTACTGGGGCTGCGTTTCAGCGTTGTAGCTGGTTGCCTCTGCTCCACGATCCACTACTTGGATACGATGAAGGGCTTCTGCGAAGTTGAGTGTCTGTGATCTTGTGTCGTCCGTTGGAAATGGCGTTATGGGCGTTGAAAGGTCTGATTCAAATTCCGAATCAAATACAGAGGTCATAGAATGTTGTGTTGTAAAGTGTTCTGAGCTCACTGCCGAGGTTGCAAAAGTCATGTCACTCTCTGACCCCTCGCTTCCCTCCAGTGGCTGGGTTAGCTGGAGCCATGCGAATGAGTTCTGAGCTGCCATGAACTCTAGCCCTGTCGAGTCGACGATTATTCCTCCGAACAGGACTGCAGTGAAACACAGCTGGCGTATTGATGCGGATTCCTTCATAGCGGTCTGGTCAAGCATTCTCACAAAGCCTGTGACTCCACCAGGCTCATCCAGAATATCACAAACAGTAACGTCAATTGGGTCGATGATGTACCAAACATGGGATGCATGGTGAAAAATGGATAAACATAAGTGACGTCCTTCAGTGTTCGTAACACGCTTACTAGCAGTTCGCACCAATAGAGAGGGGTTTCAGCGCTGCAGGGAGTGGCTTTAGCGTCAGCGTATCTGAGTCACTATAATGAGCAGGTGCTTGAAGAAATGATAAAGGATATACTGATTTATCATAAATTTACATAAATTTACCTAAGCATGTTCATAATTGAGGATAGAGGTCTTAAGCTTTCTGGAGTCCCTTGGCTAATTCCTTGTGATTAAACACTGGGATCTCTATTTAATAACAACATTTAGACTCTTTGCTGCCTTTACTCCTGGCCTTTAGTTAACCTTTCCGTCTCTCCGCTTTTGTGTCAATGGTATAACAGAATTCCTTGGTCTTTGATTCGGGAAAAATAGTCCTGGCTACGTAGTAATTGTTCACGGTCTAGCGGTTACTGCAAAAAGGCATATTGAGTACAGGAACTTGACACAATTGTGTTCAAGAAAATCACCAGGTGGAATGACAGATGACGCAAAGCTACAACTTAGGCTCATTGTACAGTGACTTCTTAAAAATGGCAGTTTCATAACAGCCTCATACGCTCTAGTTCCTGGTGGGCCTTCTCGAAAGCCACCTTCGATGCAAGGCGGATCGGCCAATCGCATGTCTTGGGGCTTTGATATGGACACAAATGTGTTGTTCCGACCCTCCTTCACACATCTGTGTTGAAGCCGCTACTGCAGCTTAGTCGGATATAGCCAATTATAATGCCGTACAATTTTCACCCCTCCCCCACCATCGCAGCAGACACGTTGCTTTGCATTGACACAGCTAAAAGACTGCTGAAACTGAAGAATAATTACTGCTATTCTAGATTTCATTCTGGGTGCCTTGGCCGCCTTGTCAACACAATGGTGTTGGGGGATATTGGTGGTGGACTCGTTAGATCCCGACTAAGACAATTGACTTGGAATGCTTAACAAAGAATTCATTTTTCACTTGTGATAGCTTTAACTCTTCAAACCTATTATCAAACAGAGTTTCACAACGAGAACAATTCCTTGTTTGAGCAATCTTATTTCTGTCATCGATTTGCCCACAGCCTTGTTTTCACAATGAGCACCATTACCGTTACACCAAGTGGGCTCCAGATCCACCAAGAATATGGTGTTGGTCTGGTGCTTCAAGATTCCAGCTACTACTCAATTGCGCCGAAACAGAGAAAGTTGCCGATAAAACGGCAGCTTTTGATCCAGCATCTCTACATTCTGAGTCTTCTTGTCGATTTTTATAAGCCAGAGGGGCCAAACAAGAATAAAAACCAACAAGTAGCTACCAACGTTCAAGACAAAGCTTTACCCTTGCCATCTACAGGCGAAATCAGTGCGGCTACCCGACACTATAACGATGGAGCCAATGTTGTGCTACTATTCCCGGGGAAGCACAGACACTGTCACTGGTGGATTCTCTACTGTCCAACGCAGGAATCGTACGGGTCAGAAGCACCGAGCACCGGCGATAAGCGGGCTGGCTCGCCAGGCTCTGCCAATCAATCTGGCCGAAAGAAAAAGGGATCTGGGCGGGAGAACAATGACCGGAGCAATGGCAAAGGCAGCAAGGGAAATGGACAAAGCCCAGGCAAAAAGAAAAGAGGCTTTGGTTCCCACCAGCCTATTACCAAAAAGCTTGCTTGTCTATTTTTCAAGCTTGATCCGCGCAAATACCAATGCTGCGCTGGGTACAAAATAACCGAGTGGGATCGCCTTCTGCAGCACCTCAAACGGCAGCACCTCATCGAAGGAGAGCATTGCCCCAAATGCCGCGAAGAATTTTGCGGCGAGGACGCTGAGACCGAAAAGAACGAGCATATCCAACAAGATACTTGCATCGAAGAGACAGCTCTAGAAACCGGGCTACTTCTTGAAGTTGAGTATGAAGCCCTTAACGGTTTGCATGGTTCTCATGAAGAAAAATGGTATAAAGCATGGAAGAAGCTGTTTGGAGAACATACAGCTCCCTATTCGCCATTTTTCGAAACTGTCGACTGTATGCTGGAAGTGCAACAGAGCACTATGGAGAGAGAACTGCCGACTATTTTACAGTCGTTCCTTCGCGATGCCTTGGCTAGACCAGAAGGTAATAATGCCACTGCCACTATCGCCGCTATACTAGAGCTGTTACGGAACCCGATTCCTACCCCCAATTCACCTGCACAGGAAGAGTCCCAGGCTGTGTTGGCGCCTTCGACGCCGGCACAAATACCGTTGGCCCAAGACATGCCAACCATTCAGGATTTGGAGACTTGGCCAGATGTCATGGAGCCCTTTAGGCCCAGTACTGGCGATTTACCTGACCAATTATACATTCCAGCCATGGAAGCAGGACCTTTTGGATACATCTTGCATGGTATACTTTGGCCTCAGCCCTTGGAAGAACCTCTTGTGTCCTTTGATGATGAAGGTTTTCGTCAGTTGACGCACTACTCAGATGACGGAGATTATTTTGAAGAGTTTGACAACAGTGGACATATTTTAGAATGAATGATATTTGTTATGCAGGCTATCGCTGTT